CATTATGGTGCTGTATTGGGAGGTTGGGAGGTATATGATAACACGGAGAGAGCATGCTATACAGTGTTCCCTACAATGGCTTATTTTTATCCATCAGTGACTCCTGTTCTCACTTCTTAGGATATTTCTATATTACAGTAAAGGACAGAGCAGTAGACAAACTCTCACTTCATAGAGAAAAACTTCCCACCTTGTGCAATAATGCCAACCTTTGTTGCCAAGGTATTCTATTAGCCTAAACCAGCCCATATATCATATTTGCCACTTTGAAATCAATCACCCTCACATATTCAGGGAAAACGATTTTTAAAATGAAATTAAAAAAAAAATCACAGCCAGTCCTGCTGAATCCTGTCTCACATGATCACTACAATGGGAAGGTTACTAACATTGGTTCAGAAATGTTAGCTCCTGTTGCAGCCAGGCTTCACCATAGCTTAGCCCATGAACACTGGAGGGCAGCAGGGAGGCCACGTAAACCTCACCAAACAGTTTAGCGGGACACCAGGTGGCAGTGCTTCAGAACTTGGTGCTTTAGTTCTCAACGCGTGGAATATGCTAGAGCCTGATTCTCAAAGAAGGAAAATATAATAGAAAGATTTCGATAAAGGCTTCACAAGGTGGCGAACTTTGCGTAAAGACGTACAGGAGTTCAGAGGTACACCATGAAGTCTGGTGGGGGTATAGCATTGCAGGCATAGTGGGCAAAGGCCTTGATATGGAAGCTCGCTTGGAGTGTTTAAGGAATAGTATCTCATCTTTCCCTCTACCCTCTTGTGCTTCATAGCACACTACTGTAGAAGAGACTCACTGAGACATTCAGCACTCTTAAATGCTTAGTCGATTATTTCCTCCATCTGTTGATCCTGAGGCAATTTGTGCCTAGGATTGGCATCTTGTCATCCTCACTGAGAAAGCCAATGCTGCTGCTTTGGGGCTGTTTGCTTCTCCATAGTCCAAACTTTGCTTTATAGGAGCCCTTTAAGATGTTACACCCTGCTTGACTTTAGTTAGAGATGCTTTTCAAAGTTAGGGAAAGTTGTGTCTCATTTCCCAAATATGAAAAACTGGAACAATAAAACCTATCTCGTAGGGTGTACGATGCTTAAATTAGGTAATGAATTTGAAATGTATACATAGTGCCTGACATATAGTATGGCCAAGGAATATCAACTTTCTTCTTTCCTAGTAAAACCTGCTTTTCCTTCAGTGTTCCAGTCTGGAGCCTGTTACTGCTTTTTCTTCTTACATCGAAAGAGGTTCAATGATGGGAGTGTTAAAAGAAAAACTTTAGACAAATTAAATTTTACGGAGTTTAATTGAGCAAAGAACGATTAGAGATTCAGGAAGCCCCCCACCAGACCAGAACAGATTCAGAGAGACTCTGGCACTACCACATGGTCAAAGAATATTTATGGACAGAAAAAGTAAAGTGACTTATAGAAAAAGGAAGTAAGGTGCAAAAACAGATGGATTGGTTAAAGCTTGGCATTTGCCTTATTTGAACGTGATTTGAACAGTTGGCCACCTATGGCCAAAACTTAGGGATTTGTAGAGAGTAGACTGTAGCCTGTTTATGCATCCTGTTAGGTTACAGGGCACTGTGTATGGAGAAACCTTTGCCCTGAGCTTAAAATAAGTCAGGAGGCAGCTTTAGGCTAAACTTAATCTAACAGAAGTTTCTAGAAAACCTACTTGGCCATCTCTTCCCCTGGGAGTAGTCACTATTTTTCATTACCCTCTCGTGGTCATTTCCTCCTGGCTACATTAATACAAATGTGGTTCTGAAGGGGCACAGGAGGATCACTCAGTGGGTTTCATTTTCATTTTCCTAATGAGTATTTATATTAAGTGCTTTTCATGTATGCTTATTACTATTAGATATCATATTTCTGAAATATCTCTTCAAGTTTTGGCCATTTGTATTGTTTTATCATTGCTTATTGACTTGTACAAGTTTTTTTATGTATTCTGCATTTGAATCTTTTTCAGAAATATGTCAATGTAAATATAACTTTCCAATCTGTGTACTGACTTTCCACCTTTTTAACAATGATTTTTGACAAACGGTTTAAAAATTAGACTTTTATGTTCATGGGAAGCTAGCTAGAGAGGTTTTTTTTGTTTGTTTTATAAGTACTTTAAAAATACTTTTTCCTCTTTAGCGTCTGTCGATTTTGATGAGAATTCAGCAAGCATTCTTAAAGACATTTCCCAGAACATGATATATCAACTTTCTCTGGCTCCTGGCAAGTTTTGCTTTGTTTTATTCCACTTAGACATTCCGAATATGGACTTTCCTTCCACATCTGCAATGCTTCGGGCAAAACCACAGTGGTGGACTTAGAGAATTCCTTACTCAACTTTATGGCATTCTGTATAGCATTGCTCCTGACCAAGGAGCTTGTTTTATAGAAAGTCAAGTGTACCAGTGAGTGGAGGTGCTTGCTGAAAACAAACAGATTCTGAAATGGGTAATGGAAGAGATAGTTATGGAAACCAGCTACAACCATGAGATCATTTGTGGATAAAAAAGACTATACTGTTATAAACATTCCCTTTCCATTGTGATATGAAAATATTAAAATACATGTTAACCATTTTTTACTCTCCTCCCATTTGTCTATACATAATAATGAAAGATATGTTAATAAGTTAATCACATATCTTGTTAAATGTCAGAAGCTAAACTACAGGATATCAATTGGAGAGTGTGACTCAGCTAGAAGAGGAAAGACCATCACCCAAAGATGAATAAATGAACTTTGTATTCTCTTTGAGGTAGAGGGTTAGGGTATTTGTGGTTGAGTGAAGAATAGTGGCATCATATTGGCAGGAAACATGCTTTTTAAAATTGTCTTTATTTGAAAGCTAAGTGTTATGAAAAGAGGTGCATACGGATGTCAAGTTTACAAGGTAGGGGTATTGTGGTAACTTCGTACTGTCTCATCGTAACTACCTGGAAATATATTTCTAAGAAAATCCTTCCCTATATTATTCTCTATTAAGTTGGAAAAAATTGTGCAAGACAGGTGCCAGGCTCCAGGAAAAGTGGCAACTCACACATGTTGCGACTGATCTGCTAACTCATCTTATTGTTGATTCACAACTCCCTCACTGCCCCCAGGTCTCCTCTTTCAGCTTCTCTTTTTCTTGGGCCAAGTACCCAGGGAGCAAGATAGCAAATAACACCATTTCTTCTGAAGGTCACCAACACTATGAGATTGAAGGAGGTAAGAGACAAGTTTTAGTTTGTCCTCACGGGTTCCACCTGTCACCATGGGTTCCAAAATGTCTTTACAAATCAGTTTTTGCATGCTCTTGTCCACATTCAACTCTCCTTCCCAAATGTGAATCTAGTTGACCTAGAGTAAATTCAGGCTCAATACCAGATGCAAAGACAATAGCTTTGCATAGGAGTAAGAGCAGATTATGGCATTGTATCACATAGAAATCTGGCATGCTTACCACGACTTTATTTTACAAATAAAAAACATGCCCAGCCACAGAATTTAACAAATGAGACTGAATACTTTGGATCAATGGGATAGAAATGTGATATCAGGACAATTCTAGGACACATGATCTAAGAAGTACTATTCTACTTGTGAAGGCAATAGGAATGAATATCCTGATCCTCTTCAGCCTAGTAAATAAAACTCAATGTCAGATTTTGAAAATATTACATTTTATTCCTGTTATAATTTCATAAAAACATAAACAACTAAGTAACTTCTGAGAACCACCAGCTCCAGCAATTGCATGAGGTCTAATCCTTATAATTACTCTTATTCTACGTCTTTCATGATGGTTCTGCTTCCTTGATTGTACCCTAATTGACATAAAGCCTAAGAGGAAAGGGCTAAGGAAATGATTTTTATTATGATTCAAGATAACTAGACCCAGATTTCTGCTGTGAGCATCGTTAAGTGAAACTGCCACTTTAAGTTATTATGTGGAAGTCTTTCCAACTTTAGACAACTTTACACGTTTTTCCGTATGATCTATTTTCAGTAAAAATTTAAGTATTAGAAGAAAGTTGCTCTGAACACCTGTTTCCAAATGAGATCGAAGGAGGTTTTACTTCGAATTAACTCATCTGATCTAGACCACAGATTAAATCCACAGACCACAGTCACTACCCTCTCTTGCCTGAGATCTGCAGGTGTGCACTTCAAATCGGCTCCTGTAGCAGAGGATGCGGAGTAGAGGGTTCTCTTGTCGAGCCCTAGGGTTTTTGTTTTGCTTTTACTATCACTTCAAACACTGTGAGTTCCCGGAGAGCACAGAAGTATGTTGCTGAGTCTTCTAGCTGTAAGGCTGAAATGGTTAAGGCGATGGAGCTAGCTGCTTTCTGGAAGTTGACAGAATAGCGACCATTTCTTGCATTCTGTTCAGAATAACCCTGGCGAATAAGGAAAATCATCTCTTTGCTGGGAGGTTGCTTGTACCAAAAAAGGTCATATGACCACCAACTTGTTTCATACTGGCAGTTCAGGGTGACTGCTTTCCCCACTGGCATGGATACTGATGACTGGGCTTGAGTAACCTTCTGGGCCACACTGGATCCTGTGGGAAAAAATCAGGAAACAGCTGATCCTTTGATAGAGTGAATATCATAAGAACTAGACTAATTTAGGACCCAGAGACAAACCAAACTAAAATCATGGTATGCTCGCCTTTTTCCAATTTCTCCTTTCCTCTTCAAATCCATGAGAAACACCACATGTCTGTCTATCATCCTTCCATCCTTAACATTTTTACCCACATTTGGAACCATCCATACCAGAGTAGCTGAAGGCCACAAATATGCACAGCAAGCTGGAGAACAGCATGTGGCATGTAGCTCTCTGCACAAATGTGAGTTGTGCTGCCTGACGCTCAAAGTTCAGTACCCACAAGGGCCCTGTGGTGTGTATATGTAGTTCCTGAGTTCTGATGCTATCTCCCCAAACAGGAAATTGAGTCTCATGTTCATAGACTACATAGCTATGTGCAAATGAGGAAAAATGTCTGGTTCACCCTGAATCTTTACTTTGTTTAGTTGTCTTTTTCTAGTCATTAGGATAGACAGAACCTAGAAAACGGATATAAGAAAAGCAATTTGTATTGAGGGTTGTAACTGAGGGGAACTGCAGTTGAACCAGTTGACATACATTGATATTATTCATTCAGCATATATTTATTTTTTCCATCAGAAACTAATTAAATTTAAAAGAAAAATACTCAGATATTTGACTTTCTCTGTGAAAGGCAGTCCTATTCTAAACAATTACTGCATCTCTTTCTTCCTCCTTGCTGAGTTCTAGGGCCCTAGTTAA